AACAACATTGCAACTCCCTCGCCGTGCAACCAAATTGCCACTAATATTATAATTGCAGCCTACGTATTTTCAGTAACCATGTAAAGTAAACTGGAATTAACGTAATACACTACACGAAGCAAAAAGACGAAGCCCATTTCCTGATTTATCTGAGGGTGAACTCCGCAAGATTGCAGCTGCGACTACAATAGTAACTATGTCAGTTCCACAGGGAGCTGTGAGCTCTGCATACAGTCAGGGAAGTCAACGTGTGATCCACGCTAAATAAAAGACGCTCTGACCCTACATACACAAACAGAAGTGCTTTGAAAATAGACCAGCGGTAGGATTACAGTAAGAAATTGGGACTTAAAATACATCTGGTAGCTAGGCTGCTTGTAATAATCTAGACCATGTGTGTTTTAAAGTACATTTGCATGCTAGCGTGTTGTCTGGCACATTATAACGCAGCCGCAAAACCGCGAAACTGCCCTCATGAAGAGGGTCACACACTCTTAAAAATAAAGTTTCTTTATTGGCATCTACGGTTCCATGAAGAACCTTTAACATTCATGGAATCTTTCCATTGTACTAAATTGTTTTTCACAGTAAGAAAAAAATGGTACTGTTCACTGAAAGCTCTTTTGGGGAACCCAAAATGACTTTTCTAAAGCATCCCTGTGAAAACCCCCTTTTGAAAGCTTTATTTTTAATAGTGCAGAACACTCTTTCATCCCGAAGCCAGATCAAGACCAGTCATCTCTTTTCCAACACCTCCTGCGTGTGTCATTTGTTCTGAAGCAGGGTGGCGGGATGTCTGGCATAGCACTGTAGGGCCACGAGGTTGAGGACGAGTCTAATTACATTCAGGGTCTAACAGCAGTGCTCCACATGTGTTCTCTGGCATGTGTGTTTTAAAGTACATTTGCATGCTAGCGTGTTGTCTGGCACATTATAACGCAGCCGCAACTGCAGAAACTGCCCTCATGAAGAGGGTCACACACTCTTAAAAATAAAGTTTCTTTATTGGCATCTATGGTTCCATGAAGAATCTTTAACATTCATGGAATCTTTCCATTGTACTAAATTGTTTTTCACAGTAAGAAAAAAATGGTACTGTTCACTGAAAGCTCTTTTGGGGAACCCAAAATGACTTTTCTAAAGCATCCCTGTGAAAACCCCCTTTTGAAAGCTTTATTTTTAATAGTGCAGAACACTCTTTCATCCCGAAGCCAGATCAAGACCAGTCATCTCTTTTCCAACACCTCCTGCGTGTGTCATTTGTTCTGAAGCAGGGTGGCGGGATGTCTGGCATAGCACTGTAGGGCCACGAGGTTGAGGACGAGTCTAATTACATTCAGGGTCTAACAGCAGTGCTCCACATGTGTTCTCTGGTCTGAATTTCAATAGCAAGTAGAGAGAGAAATGGGCTTTCGAATCTAGCACACTTAAATTAGGCCTCAGTGTTGAGAAACGAGGCCTACAGAAACAATCTGTCATATGCAAACTCTTCAAATGCTTTCAAAAGGAGAGCAACCAAACCAAAGGCAAATCTTTTTTCCTGAAACGAAAGAGACCTCTCCCAAGACCTTTTGCGGAATCGCCAATTAATTAAGGTGATCGGTACATCTGCTCTGCTAAATGGCATTCAGCATCAATCGATATTGGCTGTACTCTAGCACATGCTGCGGTTTCAGACGAAGCTGAATAATACATAAGGTCTACCCCACCTACAGTTTTGTATCGGCATTGTGCCAAACGCCACGCAATGCATCTCTCTTTCTCTAGTGCATAATGTTATATGCTTTACGAGCAGCATTCTCTCTTACGAAACTATTTTTTTGTAAGAATTTAATAGAACTAAAAATGTCCCGTTAGTGAGTATTAACGCCTGATGGATTGTGGCGACATGCAGTAACAATAATCTTAGTCACTATGGTATTTTAAAACTATTTATGCGCATTTCACAAATAAATCTCCATTGTGACTGAAGCAGTCAATATGTGGTCCACAAAGCACATCATCCCAATTAATCCATTCCTCCCCACTTATGCAAATCAATTTGTTGCAGTACACCATGTTTAGGAGAGTACTGTGGTGTTTTTGTTGAGTTAGTGTTTCACGATAAAAGTAGTTACATCCAAAGGGCCTTTAATCCCATTGTACCCTATCATACAGAACTGTAGCTACATATGAGGGGTAAATCTTATTCAAATATATGTATATTTGATTCAAATTTGATTAATAGAATAATATGTTAAAATGATAATACTGAAAAGCTAGAATTTGTTATACACAAACTGGTCTAATGAAGAACACAAATAAAAAAAATTAAAATGTTCTATTGTGATTACTTTGGATTTAAGACAATGTCACAATTTAAAGGCCCCAAATGCAACAAAAAAAAACTGCTCCATTTCTATACTTAAAATGAGTGTCCAAAACAACAAAAGAGCTGAGTGGATGGTAAGTGACCCGTTTAAAAATGTTCATCATCCGCTTTCATATTCTCTAAAGAAAAGCATAGCATACAGTAGAATTCGCGTTAGTATTTCATCCAAAACTAAAACACGGAACTCTATGAGGTCACGTGACCCGGCAGCAGCTCCAGCCAGGGAGAGATGGAAGCGGCTCTCCGCTCTGCTGCTGCGCTACTCTCTCCTGTTAAATCGCGTTGGCTCAAGGTTTCAGAGCACATCACCACTGCAGCAACCCCCACCCTCCTCCTCCTCCTCCACCGCCACCTGCTTCCACATGCACGGCTACAGGAACTCTGCATCCCTGCGCATAGAGCAACTGCTGCAGCATCCCTTCAGCGGACTCGCCACCGGCATGTTTTAAACACCCAGCACTCTAAATTAATGATCCAATGGAAACTCCACGACCGACGTCTTCTATTACAGAGTAAACGACCTCATCGCTGCAGTAAGCACTGATTGTGACCATAAATCGAACGCTTACGGTCTTATAGTGCATATAATTACCCAGCAAGCGTTGTAAACACGTTTTGCCAAGTCGTGGAATATGATAACATTTAATCCTACAACAAATGTAGAGATGCTTAACGTAATAAGTTTTCACAACATTGCACAAACATTGGCTGCTAGCAAGTGCTCTTCCGCGGTTTTAGGGGCAGATACTATATATAGGTTACCTTCTTAAAAATTTTAGCTTACACCTAAATGTCCTCAAGGCATTATTCTCACGAGGTATTTTCAAAACTTTTCAGACATCCTGACGTAAAAGTGTCACCTCAGAAAACCCGTTCTCCTGTCAAACTCTCTATGCGTTCGCAGCTCGGTTTCATTTCAACCATTCAAACATCCATTCACAAAGACGAAACGATATCAATAATCACGATGAAATGTTTGTCATTTTTTCACACATATCTGCCACTTAAATAAGCCAGTTTGTAGGCTAAGCTGAAAAAAAAGACGTTACGTGTTCAGACGTCTCATTGAAATGTAAAGATGAAAACATTCCATTTTGGATTTTTTTATAGTAAAGAACCCTTATTGACGTTCTAATATTCGTGGTGTGGTTTCTTGGACTTTCTTCAGTGTGACGTTACCTGACTGCAACGTTGTGACATGTAAAAATGTTTGGTGCTTGCTGGCAACCTGCTTCCATTAGTAGCGCTTTAAAGGGTTAGTTCACCCAAAAATGAAAATTGTCATGAATTACTCGTTTCAAACCCGTAAGACCTTCGTTCATCTTCGGAACACAGTTAAGATATTTTTGATGGAATCGGAGAGCTGTCTGAATCTGAATAGACAGCAACGCAACTGAAATGTTCCCAAGTCCAGTCCAGACTGAAAGTGTTACGTCTAGCAGATATTCTCCAAAATGGCACCAGGGTGATGCGGAGGAGACGAATTGTTGAATAAAGTCTTTTTTTTTTTTTTTGTGCCCAAAAAGTATTCTCGTAGCTTCTTATAATTGAGGATGAACCACTGATGTCACGTGGATTATTTTACAGATCTCCTTGCTACGTTTCTGGACTTGGGAACATTGCAGTTGCGTTGCTGTCTATGCAGGGTCAGACAGCTCTCAGATTCTATCAAAAATATCTTAATTTGTGTTCCGAAGATGAACGAAGGTCTTACGGGTTTGAAGCGACATGAGGGTGAGTAATTAATGACAGAATTTTCATTTTTGAGTGAACTAACCCTTTAAGAAGGCCTGGCTCGGCCAATTGTAATTATTGATAAGGACGTCGGTAAAAAACCTCTCCGTCCCTTCCTTCAAAACAACGGTGCTCCCAACATCTCATGCAGCGCGCATTACTGAATCTGTGTTAATACGTTTTCTAAGCCGTTTCATAACAAGAATTCAGTTAAAGCCCGCTTTAATCCACCTCGCTCACCAGCCTGTGGCCTCCATGAGCAAAAACAGCAGTCATATCGACACAGATGAGGATATAACAGGTGCCAAAACACAAACAGCATACCATTACAGCTTAAAAATAACGAGTATCACAGACGGCACGTTAACGCGATCTGAATATTAATTACACCCACACTGCTGTACATCTGTGGGAATTAATCCATGTATGGCTGCGTCGCGTAACATCTACCCACCAGTCATATTTACATATCAAAAGCCGAATCCATATTGGGAAATACCGTTTAATAACACAAGATTTATGTCCTCTAGGCGAGAATTATGAATCTAACCGCACATTCTGCTAGGAGAAAAGATGCATTCCCTTATTTGGCGAGTCATTGTTGCTGGCCGGCGTGTTGATACACTGTCATTTGGCTCTGCATATAAACGCAGCGACCACTGTGTAATAGTACGCTGGGAAAATGAATTCTGACGTTATGTGTGCGATATTTTGTCACCCTAAAACGAAGCTGGCAGTGATGAATCTGACTGGCATGTCAACAAAAGACGGTGACATTCCTCCAGGGAATATCTCTGGCTTTAGTGCATTTGATCAAGAAATCAATTCTCATATAACATCATTTTATGCGCGCTAAATAAAACATGCGTTCAATACACTCTATGCAGATGCTTACCAGTTTTAAAACTGTCTCCACGATATCTCTGTTGCTAACCTCCCCGACTTGGATCAAACCGATGAGCACGGCGAATTTCATCTTGATATTCCGGATCGGAACCGAGGGGTTTATCACCCCGGCCGGTAGAACCACGGCGCCCGATCCAGACACCATCATGTCCCCGGTAACGGAGCCCGTTACGACTCGCTGCCCCGAACCCGGCGGTGCTGCTGCTGGTGTGGGGGCTTCTCGGTCCGTGAGCGAGGCGGAACCCGGTGCCAAAACCGGTTTCTCGCTCGACATTTCCGACCCGAATCCCAAAAAGGAGCGGTCGCCTCGGTCTCACCTGCTTTTGTATCACCGAGCACTGAGCAGCAGCATCAAACACAGATGAAAAAGGAAAATTCTCGATCAGGTGTCCTCCTCCGCCGAGATCTGCACATCCAAACCCGATGCTCGCGGCCGTTCAGAGGGATGCACAGGACGAAATCACGTCTTGCGTTTGGCGAAACGGTCCCTCTCTCCTCCCGATGTCAGCCGAAGATCGGTGCGGTGTCGGGCTGTGTTGTCTTTCTCAGGACGCCATATTGACGCCCCCTGTCTGCGGGAGCGCTCACCACGCCTGCGTGCTGCTGCCCGCCTGTCAATCAAAAGCTGGGAACCAAGCAGGAGCACGTGCGCAGGTCCCGCTAATAGGTGTCCCAGCATTATGCAAATCAGATTAATGTAATGTAGACTATAAAATTATAGCGGGATTATTTCGGACCGTTGTAAATAATGCCTTTGTCCAATGATGTAATCATAATGTGACGTGCTCTCTGACTCTTTCACATAGGCTACCTTGAATAAATATTTCTCAGGGTTTATTTTTGAAATCCATATTCCATATAGACGCATGCATTAAAGTATTGGCTGCCATGAAACAACTGTAACTGACCATGAAAAAAGGAGAGAAAAAAATGTTTGTTGTGAACACACCTTTTGTTGAAAAATATATAGCCTACTGTATGTTATAAAAATAATTAGGCTATATACAGTGGTGTGAAAAAGTGTTGGCCCCCTTCCTGATTGCAAATTTTGACTTTATATAATGTATTTTTGGCTATTGCTACAAATATACACGTGCAACTTATGACTGGTTTTGTGGTCCAGGGTCACATATATTCTTTATATATATTCTTTTTTTTATCATGTATTATGTACACCTTTTGTTGAAAGAATAATGTTATTTAAATAATATATAAAACAAAAATATAATATGAATACATTTTTTGAATAGATGTTTTACAAGTCCAATCTAGGGAGAAAACTATCTAAAGAGTGAAGCAGAACTACTTTTCTGTTGAGGAAAAGTTTGAGACTTGGCCTCTCAGTACGAATGCACTGGTTGGCTGAAAGAATGTCATAAATGCATAAACATACAGCACTACTCTGCTCCACATCTTCTGTCACAGGAGCGGAAAAGCCCCTTTATGTCCATATCAGGGATGAAAGAAGACTTCAGAAAGGAGGAGGGAGATTTTAAAATCAGTTTAAAATAGCTGCACCGTTCACCACTCGCCCACATCTCCCTGTTCCCATAGAGTGCGTGGGTTTGACAGACAGGTCTGTTCTCAGCCGGACTCAGAGCGCAACAACAGGGGAAAACACAAGAGCTGCTAAAGTCCATGAATTACCCATTCAAATCTGAGAGAAACACTCTTACCGTTTCAAAGTACCAGAACGTTATTGGCATCTATAGGTCCATGAAGAACCCTGGAACAGGTTCTTCATGGGGTAAAAATGGTTTTCCTTGCACATGGCAATACAAATACAAATGCACTGATAATATAGCTGTGGTGCAATTAAGTAGAATGAATCATCAGGGCATCTTTTGGTGCTGGTTTTTAATTTGGTCCAGAGTTCAACACATTCTAGTACAGTATATCACGCATATGCCCAGAGATTGTAAAACATAAAATATAGATATCAAGGGCTTTAAAACGGGCCAAATTTATTTCCAGAAAATTAAGAATCTGCAAGAGCAAGCATAAACAAATAAAAACCAAACAAGCCACTAAGCAAATGTAAACAGCATCTCGCAAGCAAATTCTTAATGAAGATTCAAATCAAACCTCTTAATGAAGTAATTTTAAAATTTAATATGTGCATAATTGTCAGTATAATCATTTCACGAGTTCACCTTTACATCTAATCTGACAGCAAACAGAAAGATTTTGGCGTGCTGTCCTGGGGGAGGGCTCCGAGCCTGGAATATAGCCGAACCCAGAGAACTCCCCCTATCCCTAAAATGGGATGAAAATAGATTAGGAGTAAGGAGTTGGGGTGGAGGAGGGATGCCGAAAAACTGTCGTAGGACCGAGGTAGGTAGGCTGCATATTGTGCTAGTTAGGATGGTTAGCTAAATGAGTTACATCTGTGCCAAATTGGTTGATTGTGCTCCTGCCGAACCTTGTTAATAAAACATCATTTTATGTGCGTGTCTATTTATTTGTTTGTTACAAAACTAGTGCCAACATATTACAGTAAGGCAACAACAAAATCTTGTGTACTTATCTATCACATACGTTTGTTTTGGTATCATGAACAGCTGTTAGTTATCATGGGTCAGCAATGTCCCAGTGGGCATAGAACTAATGTGTGTGTATGTGTGGTACACACCACGTGAACAGCAGGGTCCCAGCTGCTGTTGTACATTTTCATTCCATATGTGAATGACTTGTGTAGACACAGACGTACATCATACATTTGTTTTGTATGCTGCATTACGGTAAGAAGATGGAATCTGCAGGTTTGGTGGAGAGAAGTTCATAAAGAACTAGAAGAAACAGAAGCAGTTTTCTTCAATGCTAACAGCCTGTCAGCATCACACGCCTCAACTCTGCAAACCGAGAGAAAACAGATGAGAAAATTCCCAGTGACAAAGGAGATGTTCTTTTCCTAGAGGAGAAAGAGAGAGATGCAGGCAGACAGAGGCGGCGAAAGAGAGGGGGGGAAAAGGACAAATGACATCGCAAGAAAGAGTAGAGAGAGGGAGAGGACGGAGCGCTGTCACATCGCTGTTTCACCCTGTCCCTATATGTGAGATGCTCAACACTGGCAGAAGAAATGAACAGGCATGTTAGATTAAAGTGACGTCTACCACACACACACACACACACACACACACACGAGTAGAGTAAAAACGTGTGACAACTAGGCCCGGTCTCTTCTATATTAAACTGAAACACAGCACAGACATGGTCAAGAGTGATGTCACCCCCAAGTGGTCAACATGGGAATTGCAATATGAATCACTGTATTCAGTGTGTGCATGTACTCACTGGATCCTGTGATGGTAGAGCAGGCATCTGCAATCCTTTTTTTTTTAAACCCTTTGCTTTGCTTGCAGGGGCATATGACAGAAAGCTGGACAGTAATTAGCTGAAGGTTGCTGCTAATTGGTGTCATTTCTAAAAGCTGTGTTTCCAGGAGAATTATGTCTAATCAATCAGTCTGATTTAAGCTATATATCCGTTTACGAAATGGAATTTCCTTTGGAATTCAATCTACTAAGCTTTCTCTGAGGCTATTTGTGTATCTGCACTTTATCCTTAGAATAAAGTGAAAGATTTAGTCAGATGTCAACTAAAATAAAAAATAAAAATAAAAACAAGCCTAGACAGCATGAAGGTGTCAGAAAATTATGTTATGGTCACCACATCCATGTCTGTGTTTTCAGATGCACAAACCCGCTGTGTTATTCCTGCACAGCAGTAGTCGATTAATATGGGTTTTTATAATGGCTGATGCCAATGCAGACATATAGAGAGCAGTGTGGGTTATGGCTGATATATTAATGAATAATGACAAGTCAGACTTGCACAAATAGGCTCTAATTAAATGGACATTTTATAATGTACTTAATCAAAATTCACTCACAATAATAGAAAATTCTGTCCTTTGAAACACAAATTACCATTCAACATTTGTGATCTGTAAGATGTTTCTTGGCTGCATTTAGTTGATCAAAAATACAGTAAAACTGTAATATTGTGAAATTTTTTTTTTTTTTTTGTATATTTTTAAATGGATTCCTGTGATGGCAAAGCTGAATTTTCAGCATTATTACTCCAGTCTTCAGTGTCACACGATCCTTTAAAAATCATTGTAATATGCTGATTTGGTCCTCCAGAAACATTTAATATTATTATCAATGTTGAAAACAGTTGTGCTTTTTTATATTTCTGTGGAAATTCTTAATTTATTCGAAATATTTTGCAACAAAGTCTTTACTGTCACTTTTGGTCAATTGAATGCTGAATAATATCTTTAAAGAAAGAAAGAAAAACATCTTACCCCAAAACTATGAAGTGTGTATTATTTGAACTATGACATACAACCCATGAAAATAATAACTTGTGTTGAAAATAGCTTGGACTAAATAATTCTACGATTTTAACATAGCTACTGCTTTTTGTATGCGTGTAGGAGATTTTAAAAAATACACACAATAAGCGTGAAACCTCACCACTTGCTAATCAAATTAAGGGCAGAAGAACTAACTGTTGTAGAAAATAGATAAAAACACAGCACCGTGTGAGATAACCCTTCAGAAGTGAGAAGCACAAAGGATAGCTCATGGTCGACAATATGTTTATGAAATCTGACCTTCTTTGACATAAAGACACGCCACTGTTTTTTGCTCCCTAATGATGATGTATGGCCCGCAGTGAGTGTCCTCTGCCTCCCATACTTCTGTGTAAAAAGACGTGTTATTCAAATGGCGAGGATCAATAGTTCCCTTGGGCCTCTCTGGGGTTTTGCAGACCCAGGAGAAAACACGATCACTGTTAATTATTGGCCATGTTGTTTAGAAGCAAATGAACAGTTCTATGACCTCTAAATTGCTAACACAAATGTACAGCTTTGTGAATAGAATAGACATGCTTCTCAGAAGCAGTGAAATTAATTCATGTCCTAGACATTGTAGAGTGTGACACAGCAACATATAACAATGACAATAATAATAATTAATAATAACAATGCATGTTTGCAACAATCTTAACTAATTGATTTTGCATTGTTCGAAGAGCACAATACTGTACCATTTATCATGAGAATACATTACTGCTTACCTGGGACAATGAAATTAAGGAATATTGTAATGATAAACAAAACATTTCTTAAAACAGAATTTAGAAATAATATGGGCTTGTAAATACTTCACACCAATACGTCACCAGGGTACAACCTTAGTTTAAAAATACAGTCACTGTAACACTAGCTTCATTCAAATGAGGATAAAACACCTAAATACAGAGATTTAAATAATGTAGACAATAACATACCTATATTTGGTTTGAGAATGCAGTACTTTAGCTTGAAGTGCTCGGTAAAACAAAACCAGACCTGCTGTTTTTAGATTAGCGTGAGGTGGCTTGTCATTCACATCTGTCTGTTGTAAGCGAAGCTCTAAAGGTGCTAGTTAAAGCTGTCTGCTGCGGTAAAGACTGGACAACAGGAAGCGGCGTTACGACTTTTTTTTACAGGCATGGCTTCATAGCTACGGTGGAGTCTGTCTATGTCACTTTCTCTGTCCATTTTTTCTCATCTCTCATATATGCCCCAAAACTCACAACATTTGCCATTT